CCTGTACCCAGCTCGAGGAAGTAATTCTTACGTAGTTCTGTTTTTCTTCAAGAGCAGCACTATCCTAGATCCATTTTTAACTTCACATCGGCTTTTGTACTATACTCACATTGTACTCGTTACATTATTCCATTACGGTGTGTTGTAAAACTGTAGGCGATGTTGAGTGAGCTTTATTAACTTTCAGAAAGAGCACTTCAGTACCAGAAAATCATTTCTAGTACTGTGATTATCAGCCAATTGTAGTCATCCAGCAATTAGAAACGCACCTACTAGAAAAGAGAAATTCCTCTCGGCTCAAACGTGAACGCTGGTTCAATTCCTGAGGGTGCAGAGCCGCGCTGAGGGCCTGAGCACTTGAACCGTGAGGCACTCTCAACTCGCATTGAACTTCATGAGAGTTAAGAGTCCTCGGCACCCCACAGCATCGGACTTCGAATTTGTAAGTGTCTTACGTGCAACCACTCTGTAAAATGTCGCTGTGCATTTGTATGTTCTTTTTATAAACATGTAGTGATGTCAATGCGTCTTAGATCATCATCATTTATACCAAACCCGTGAAATGACCTGAGCCAGCCAAAGTTAAAAAAAACACATTGCTGCATTGCATCTGCTTTGAGAGCCTGAAACTTTCGCCAGTAGAATCACGTGCAGGTTTGTGGTTGATGAACTCGAGGAACTTTGCATCCATTTTAGCTTCTTTAAAATGCCCACTAACACTTACCAGTGAACTAGAACTATGCTAATTAATTTGGGCATATTTGTCTACAGCATGACAAAAATAAAGATGACTGCATCAAATAGGTTTACAGCAAAGTAAAACTATCTCCGAAATTTTGAATGCCATCACAAGTATTACTGTTTCTCTGAGTTTTATAAGGAAACAGTAGGTAAGAAATTGCCGTTCTACATGCCCCAAAGTCCTGATCTTACTAACCATTTAGAAACTCCAGAGATTTACTATATGTACATCTTAAATGTTTACTTGACAGGCAACTTGTGGTGTGCTCGTGATGTAGGGATTAATTCCAGGAAGTCACTTATTGAACAGAAAATGCAGCCTGGTGAACCAGGTGACCTACATGTATCTCTCTTCTCTTCTAGGTGTTTTGGAGACATCAAGGTCAAGAGACTGAAGCAGTATCTTGAAGAATAAGAATGACGTGACAACAGATATGTCGTGAAGAGGAATGTAAAGACGTGTCATTTGGTAAGTTAACAGTAGGACAATAGAGAGGAAGAACCAAGAGAATGGGTACTAATTGATACTGAGCAATAATCACACAGCCAGGCAAAGCCGATGAGCCTGACTGGAAGCAGGATCTCCACCAACATTGAAAAGATGAGCAGGTAGTTGCAGATACATCTAACATTGTTCAAATGGAATTGGGAGGAAATCGCACTTTTCTAGAAGATAGATGTTTGTGGTCCTGAACATTACACTGTTGCTCTTCCATCTAGCAGGTTTCCAGATGGATACTCCATGAGATGCCTCTACAACTTGTGTAACAGGAAAAAAAAACGCAAACTAGGAGTGTGACCAGACCTGAGAGAAGGTTAAACTCCAAACCTCTCCTCTGTTGGTGTGTAGCAGTTTCGTTTTAATCACGGACGTAAACAATATCTATACTGTATGTTAGTGTACATGGGTGTCCTGCATTGACACGAGGCTGTGACCACTGTCTTAGCAATTATGTTTTCATTCTGAATTAATTCCTTTTATTTTAAGTTGTGTTGTATCTTTATTCTCTTGTCCAGAGTCTTTAGCGACGGGGAAATTGAACTCCCCTTGCCACAAAGATCCTTCTGTTCAAGCCAGTAGCAAGTATCTCGGAGATTTTCCAGTGCAGAGTGCGGCTGCTCGTCAGATGGTGTAGGTTATCGCAGCTGAACTGGAGTAAATAGCACCGGGGCTGTTTACTCAGGGATCAATTTTTAATGACTCTGTCAGACACCCTTTGGCAAATCCAGCACAGCTGTTTAAACATTAAAGGGCCAGGGCAATTGTTGCCCCTCGGTGCACCCAGACACAGTCTGGCATCTTCACACCACCTCAGCAAGAGGGTGCAAGCAGGTGCTAGCTAAAGGCTGGGTGCAAACACAGCTACAGTAAGGACGTGGGGCACGGTCAGCTTCTGTGAGACCTACGCAGATGCTTCCCTGTTATCTGCCAAAAGCCCTCACTAGAAAACGAATCGACCAGTAGCCTGTAGCTTTTCTCTTTCAACTCGGACCTCGATTGATTTCTCATTGCAATACCCAGTGTTTGCTGATGACGTGGGTGTCTGATTTTGAAGGCGGCGTGTTCCCCTGCTGTCCATGTAACAACATTGGGTTTGGAATGTGGACTCGATTAAATGTGTCTACGTTCCCCATCTGGGCTTTAATAAGCTACAGCATGACCTACCTGTCACTGCTTGGGATGAGACCTGAACCAGAGACAGCCACTTTCGCCATAACTGGCCGCAGATCTCTTGATCTGTAGCATTACATCCTCAGACGCAGCTCCCAACTTCTGGGCCGCAGCTGAAATGGAACAAACTTACTAGGTTCAGGGGTGCGCTGCCCGGCGTTGACGACTGCTGCTGCTCACGCTTCTGCTCCTTTCACTTCTCGATTAACTTGCTGTAGCTTCAGGTTGCTGGAAATTATGCCCTGAGGCGAGAGCAGCCTGCAGTTGGTCCGTGTCAGGCAGTCCCCTGTCAGAAAGTCTGACAGCAGGGTTTTGCATACAAGCAAATTCACATGTGTTTCGTCTCAGACAACATACTTAGGCTGAACAAAGCCTGGCCCACCCCAAAACCAAAGATATACCATAAGACAAAGACATACCATGCTTTACGCTTAGCTAAACATTCTGTATGTGTTCATACTAAACAGATTTACTTCACCTTGAGTTTACTGACGCGTATGTTAAACAGAATATAAAATGAATTTGTCACTATACAGCTTATTCCAGAAGGCCTCATTTTTTGCAAGATAATCCTCATGAAGGTTTTGTAAACACTATCGTCTAAACCTGTAAACTGCCTTTCAAACATGTATTTAACACAGGGATGGTTTCATTAAAGCAGAATAAAAAAATAGTTTTAGCATGAGTGACTTGCCAAAAGCCAGGGAAATCAAACAATACGCAAGTACAAGTGCTTGCTCAAGATAGCCTTCAGCTGATTTATCTGTCAGGCTGCTGCTTCTGTTGCTTTTGAAAGATCCTTGGAGACCAGTTACATCTGATAGCAGGGAATCGTCACCTTGCTTTCACGGTTTGCAGTACGAACAAGAGGTGTCATCCATCTTGGTGACTGTTGTGGTCAGTCTCTAGTTGTGAATGTTAACTTACGAATTTCTTAAAAAAACGTGGCTAGAATTGTCTTACCACGTCATCAGGAATTTTCATTTGCTTGTAAGGGGCCTCAGCACCTACAGATGACTGTTTTCAGCGATATGTAAAGCACCAGAGACTTACACCACATAGAAACCATTTATGGCTTGTATCTTTGAGGCCAAGACCACTGTCTTAGGTCTAGATACTGGATTACTAACTCCATTGATGGCTCAGGATAAAAACAAGCCACTTTAAAATACTTCATATTGATTATTAGGTAATTTTGTGTGGAATGTCCGTGGCTGGATGAGCAAACAGCAACAAGGTTGTAACAGCATGTAATTAAGTGATTTGATGTTCATGTTTAGTTCCACAAATGCTGAATCAAAAAAAAAAACAAACCCTTATGGCAAAGATGTTGCTGGTGTTACATTTATCCGTCCACTTCTCCTCTCTACACTGGCCAGACTACTCGAAATATTAGGAGGTGGCTGGTGATTTCCAGATACTCCATGTGAGATCCAAGGAAACCATGCTGGCTGAAAGATGGCAAGGCTTTACATTCCTAAGGTTCACTCATGGAAAAAAAACTGGTCCTAAGATGAGTCAATTAGCCAGGCACGCTTAGCTTTCTTTGGTAATAGTAGGCTTGTTTTCCCCAGTAAGGTCAAATGTTCAGGCCTGTTTGGTTTTGCGGCTGTACTCCTTAGTGTATTTGGAATCCATTACCATGCGTGAGGCATTCATGCTGGAAAGAGGCTGTTTGTAAGGTCAAATACCCCTAGCATTGCCTCTTTTTGTTGAGTTACATGGTTGTAACTTCTTTCTTGGGCTTCAGAAGTTCTATCAAAACCAGTTGCAGGTCCTTCAGTTCTACGGTGCTTTGGTGTCAGCACCTGAATACCTTACAACTGGGTTCCTCCTTCTGAGAAACAAAGCATTATTTGACATAGGTGACAGCTGCATCTCACGTGTAGAAGCTCTCTAATAGAATCATTGACTGTGAAGAGTTGTTCCCCACCCCGTCACTTCGCTGCTCCAGAAGCAGCCATGGAAGTGAGTTTGCAGCCCCCTCGTTGACGCGGGGCCTGTCCCCATTGCAGCAGCAGCAGCTGCCTGCTTTCATGAGGAGCTTTCCACAGGATGCCCGAGGGAGGCAGGAGTGACCGCTGGATGTGCGCGTGCAGTGAGGGACCAGCACGGTGGGAGCATCACCATGAGCATCCACCCACATCCCGGGGCCACGGCGTGCCAGCAGGGACTTTGTTCAGTGCTGGACCTCACGCAGGTGCAGATTTTGAAAAAGGAGCCAGGCACCATCGACAGGACCTACCAAGACCTGAAACAGCTCAGCGGAAAGCCACCATCTTGAGACTTTCCTCCTTCCCACCCCTTAGGGTCAAGGCCTATCAAGTCAAAACGAAGGATTAAAAGGCACCTTTTGACAGAAATTTTTGACAAATCGGAAGTAATTTTCACATGAAGCCAGAATTCTCTGTTTGAAGAGAAAATTGCTGCAGCCCTGTTCCTGCTAATACTCAAAAACTCCGCAGCCTGAGCTGTTGCCCTTCTGGCACCGGCTCTCCTCCACAGGACCCAGCAACAAGGTAGTTTGCGTCTGTGAGGCTCTCCATGCCTCGGGCACGCGGTGTGCAGAGGCCGTATCCTTTACACCATGCAGTCGCAAGGGCTTCGTTCTGAAAAACGTGAGTGCGAGGAAAAGGAGGCAGACGGTGATGCCCACTTCTTGCGCACTCAGCTGTTGCCCTTCTGGCACCGGCTCTCCTCCACAGGACCCAGCAACAAGGTAGTTTGCGTCTGTGAGGCTCTCCATGCCTCGGGCACGCGGTGTGCAGAGGCCGTATCCTTTACACCATGCAGTCGCAAGGGCTTCGTTCTGAAAAACGTGAGTGCGAGGAAAAGGAGGCAGACGGTGATGCCCACTTCTTGCGCACTCGGCCACCGATACTGGAGCGGTCGCAGCCTCTGCCACCCAGCCCGCGAGGTGCAAGGAAGGATGCAGTCGCCGTCCTCTCGTGGGAGGCTGAAGCCCGCTAGTGCTGCACCAGCTCTCGCCTCATCAGCCAGCGACTACGTAGCAAGGGAGATGATGCCCCTCAGCCCCGCCGCTCAGCAGGCACCTCCGTGGGTTACGTCTCCTTCCCAGGAGGCCGCTCCAGGCTCCCTGCGAGATGCAGCAAGCTGGGCAGGGCAGCACAGTGTAACCAGGCTGTCCAGGCACAAGACGGCAGCGTCCTGTATTTCAGCCCCGTTACCCAGCGTTAGCTGCGTCCCTGGTTTGCAGAAACAGTCTAGGAGCCAGGACGGACGCAAATGTGGAAACTGCTTCTCTGCAAAGCAGAAGCCGTGTTGGCATCTGGACACCAGCCAGCTGTGCTCCACCACCAAATCAAGTGGGTGGTTCAGAAACCATTTTTGATGCTTAAGAGGTCTAAATTGTGTTTCTCTCTTTCTTTGTTTATCCCCATACCTATAATCTTCTGTGACTCTTTCTTGCTTACTGTGTTTCAGAGCAAGAGCTCACTCACCTAATGCTGATTAATTCTGCTGGACTGGGTAGCTGGCTCCCCTGTGGATATCCTGTTTTCCTGTGAATCATCGTTCCTCCTTGAGACATTCTCCAACTCAGATCAAAGATTCAGAATGTATCAGATATGAAGACATCAGACAGCTCAAACAGATTAGAAAAGCCACACACAAAGAAGTGCATCCCAGCTTCTCCCTCCCATCCTGATGAAGATTGCCATGGGGACACAATCCTAAGCACTTGTAAAAGAAGCGGTAGAAAGAAAAAAAGGGGGGAGGGGGGGAGGAAAGAGAGACTTCGAAATTTAGTTTGCCCAGAGTCTTCTACAGATTGCTCTTTCAAAGTATTTGCACTTTTGTACTTACTTAGTTCTCCCTCGCAGTTGGAAACTCTTCAAGCTAGATCCTCATCTGACGGAAAATGACGTCCGCAAGCTTCAGCAAGCGCTGCAGTATCTTCATCAGCGGAGGACGAGGTATTATCCATTGAAGTATTGAGCCTTGCCTACAAACACACAAATTAAAGGAACATGAAAACACGTGGTCTGTTTTTTCAAGTTTATGCAGTCTGTTGTGTTCTTGATGGTTTTATTCAGTTTTCCATTTAGCCATAGGAACAACTGAAAAGATTCTGGAGCAGGGAAATGCCAGTACCTAAGGTCATGAGGTCAGACTAGGTTATCTTAATAGTCTCTTCTTCCCTTGCAATCTTTGACCACAGGTTTTATCTGATAAAGCAGTTAAAGTCTTTATTTCAGGAACGTTTGATCTTGAAGACTGCACAAATAATTAGTCCTTTAAGATTCTGAACTTTTCTTTTTTAAATAGAATTTTTAACTCTCCTTTTAATGGATGCCTTTTAATCCTTATGTTTAAGAATAAGAGCTGTGTTTGATCTAAGACAACGGACAATGTGTTTGGATAGTCGGAGAGGCCATTTTTATGGGAGCGTTTGAACAGTATGTTGTATTTTTTCAAGAAGTTGTTCCTCCAGTCAGTGGAAATAACTGAATGAAGGACCAAAGGACTGTGCTTTTTCTGTCGTTAAGCTCATATAAAATGAAGATAAAATGTGCTTGTTCTTACATCTTAGAGCAGACTGTATTGGGCTTTTAGTCCTAGACTTTTAACTTTACTATTAGCTGCCTGCACTTGGAGGGGAAAAGAAACGCTTTTAACCTTACGCGCTGTCGACACTCACTTGAAGGCAATGGAGGACAGAATACCCGGCAGGAATACGCTCTGCGAGTACTCAGCAAAATCATTAGATCTCCATATTCCTAACCAATGAAGTTTTGGCAGAATTAAGTGTGGTTTTTTCACTATAGTTTGTCCAAGTGTATAGTTTAGGCTATGGTTTATCCAGGTTGCTGGCTGGGGTTCAGCTGTTTAGGTTTTCTTTGAGCAAAAACTTCAGCAAGGGCTGGAGTTGTTCAAACAGACCGCAACGTGGGAGTTTCGGCCCCAGTCATGAGAGGCACGAGAGCTGAGCCCAGAGTCCGCCCCAGCCGCACCTTCCCCGCTGGGGCAGCCATCAGGGCCACCGCAACCATCCGAGGGAGGTGGGGCCGGGTTTGGAGGAGTGAGGGCCAAACAACATGAAAAAGATTCACCTTCTGCATAGAGACAGAAACCTCATTGCCCAGTCCCAAGGACAAATGGATAACCTTTTTCAGAATCCGTAGTATTTCCGTTGTTTTTGTGACCTTCCACCTTTAATTGGACCCATGTGTGCGATGCAGTGGAAACGACGACTGAAAAGATGGCTTTCCAGCCTTTGAGGGGGCAGCTGTTGGTCTGTCGGATCTGGAACACGGTCTGCAGGTGCGGGGTGGGACTGCCAGAGGACACGCTCAGACCTTCGCTGGGCACGCGGGATATTGCACCCGGTGCTTCGCCTCCCCCGGCGCCCCCCCGTCAGCGCGTCCGGGGCGGTGGTGAGGGAGCTGAGGACTGAGGGCTTTCTAGGCAGGTGCTAGCCGAGCACCTCAGAAGAGTTCAGGCTCCTGCTTCATCCTGCTAGGGACCTTTTACCGAGCGTGGTTTGAGTTTTGTGTGTGTGCGATAACGCTGGAGTACAGACCAGGCGACAAAGCTGTCTGTGTAACGATGGTGCCGAACGAGGAGCTGGTGGGGGATCGAGCTCGAGCTGGGTTTGCGCATGTGCCTCTAGAAATTATCTTCTGAGTTTCTGGCACCAGCGTCAAAAAGGGAGTCGTCAGGGAAGGGCTTGGACTTCAATGCTTTAGAGGGTGAGGGAGAATACTGTGAAAATAACTGTTTCATCCAGAGAATTAAGGCAACACCTGGAGTCAGAGTTGTCAGGAGCAGTCTCCTACGGCCATCAGGAGGGCCTGGATTTTACTCGCAGTTTTTTAAGGCTGAAGCACGCAGGATGTCTGAAAACAGAACATGGATATTTCTGGCACAAGGAGGACTGCTGTCAATGACACCGGAAAGTGATTTTTTTTATTTTTTATTTCTTAACTTGGCATTGTTCCTTCAAGCAAATTAATGCCTCATACATTTGCATTTCTGCGTGTCATTAACCCAGATGCCTACTGCAGGGCTTAAAGCTCGTGTCTGCTGGCAAGACTAAATCCTACTAATGCACTTTTCCTAACGCACTGAGGGAATCTGGAGTCTCTCTCTTTTTGAAGCTGACTTGCTATTTTGACTAATTGCTTCTGGTAACAGTTAATAGCATTTTGCAAAGGCACTTCATCTGCTGACAGCAGATTGATGTAAGGAAGGGACACAGTTCACTTTTCCAAAGGGAGCATCGGGAAACCCATTACCAGCTTCATTAATCTGTTAATAATAAAATTAAAGTACAAATAAAATGTGACAAATTGGGTTATGTTGTGAAAGTCACTTTAACAGGAGGCTCTGAATAAAGGTCAAAACACACTCCGATTTCTGCTGTGTTTTAACAGTAGAATCAGAGGAGAGCATTGTAAAAACACTGTAATTAATCTGGCGATACTGTAATTGTCCCCAAACGATACAGAAAGAGTTTGACAAGTGATTTTTTTTTTCCTTGAGAGCATTTATAAAACCTGGAACATGAAGCTTTGTCACACAGTGTGTAAGCGCTAATCCAGTTTCAGAGGAAGCTTTCACCAGCGTAGGTACAGTAGACGGGCTTGCTTTCACTGCCTGCATACTTGCAGCTGCTAACTCAGTCGAAACTCAAGTTTACCCAGCGCAGGGGCAAAAGGAAGAAGACAAGGCCTGAAGTTGCATGTCTTTTGGCAGCAGACCCAGAAACGTGCCTGACATTGGAAACAGGCTTCATCGAAGAGTCAAGAAACCAGCTCAGACATCTCTTTTCTGTAAGGACGGGGCCGGCTTGCCAGGAGCCCTTCTTTAAAACGAAAACTACGTAAAATCAGCTTGCTGTCCACCCCATCCTTCTTTTAAGGTTATCCCCCAGCCTGTGAGGCCCCCCTGCCTCTCTAACATCAGCCCTCCTAGCCGCATCCCAGGTTAGCAGGAGAACGTAGTCTAGCCTCTGCGCTTCAATAACCCTCCTGCTGGGATCTCCAGCTCACACCGCGAAACAAAACTGCTCAGAATGAGAGCCATTCCAGCCTCTCTGAGGCACGGTGTTAACGGATTCCCTAGAAGGACGTCCAATTTATCCAAGTTCCTGCTCATTACGGTTGAGCAATTGCTCCAAAAGGGATGGGTCGCAGAGTATCACTCGGGGTCTCACCTGGGGCGAAGGGTGGGCGTCCTGCAGCCCGGCGGAGCGCGGTCGGTCGGCAGGGAGCACCTCAACCGAAGGCACGCTTGTTAAAGAGCCCAGCCAGGCAAACAAATATATAAATGTGTTAATGTGAAGTCTTTGAAGAGAATGGCTCATTAAGTCAGGCGGGATGACTATGTGGAAAAGAGATAGCTCTATTTTAAAAATCAGCAGGGGGAAAAGGAGAAGGCTGTCCTTTCAGTCTGTGCAAGCCAAGAGGAGTCTGCACAGCCTTCCCCTCTTCCGGTTGCCTTAGGGATAATCTCAGCCCCCCAAGGGACCAGTTTCCAGTTTGTGAAGCACCACATGGAGTTAGTTACGTGAGGAATGAAGCAAGGGGAGGGTGAGGATGAAGAGGAGGGGAAGGAAGACACACTTTTCACCTGGTCTCCGAGAGGAGCTCGCGGTTACCCATTGGAGGGGTGGGCAGTGTGGTGAGGAACTGCCCCAGTGCTGGTGGGCTGGGGGCCTGGGGCAGGCAAGAAGCCTGGAGCAGATGCCCATCAGTGTGAAAACTCTGGTAGGCTGGAAATTGGATATAAACTGGACTTAGAGGCCAGCAACCGTGTGGGTTAAGAGACAAGCTATTAAGCAGAGAGACAGAGCATCGGAGGGAGGAGAGCAAGAAAGCAGCCTGCTCTAGATGGAGTCCCCTCTCATCAGTGCAGCACTCGCCCAGAGGAAGGGGCAGAGCAGAGGCTCACACAGATGAGCAGATTTTTTGCCACAACACGTAGCGAGAGTCCTTCTCGTGCTCAGCCTGACTTTAGCTGCTTGCTTTACACTCCACTTCATGTTTAAGATCTATCGGTTATTAACCTGAAGTCAGATCACTATTCTAGTGACTTGAGCTCGAGAAGTGCAGCTATCAATCCAGTTTAGTTTGGGTTCGTGGAGAGCTAAATTGTGCATGCCTGGGGGAAGATTTTGGGCAAAGCGATGACAGGTGGGTCTAGGATTGCAGATGCCTTGGGAGCTGGCAGTTGCCTGATTTGAGTTTAGTTAGTTGAGGGCTGTCTGCCGCCTTTCGTCTGCTCAGCCAGAGCTCACGGAGCACTGCTCCTGCTAACAGAGTGCTGTTTCCTACCTCCTTGTTCCCACTTCCTATCGCTGTCCCTTTTCCTGTCCTTCTGAAATGGGTCTCTCTCATGCAGAGTTTGCAAAGGGAGGGCTGAATAAGAAGGGCAATCTCCACTTGGTTTGTCTCTTTCCTCCTGCTTGCCTTTCTTTACAGGCTGCCCAGGGAAGTAGTGGAGTCCCCATCCCTGGAGGTGCTCAAAAACAGGTAGATATGGCACTTCAGGACATGGTTTAGCAGGCGTGGTGGTGATGGGTTGATGGTTGGACTTGATGATCTTAGAGGTCTTTTCCAAACTTAATGCTTCTATGATCTTCTATGATTCTATGATCTTCTGTCTAGCAGAAATTTGTGCATACTTGGCCCAGCGTGAGCCTGAGGAAGATGGTCAGAACAATTGTAAAAGACCATCTTCAGGGTTGTTTCCTACCACGTTGCCGAGTCTTTCTCGAAGACTCTGCTAGCCACATCTGCTGCATCACAAGGAGAGGAGCTTCATACTGCTATCGCTTGTGTGTAGGATCCTGCAGCTGCCTGTTGTAAAGGCAGTCATGCCCCAGGCTTTTCTTCTGTTCCTTTCTCTATAGTATATTCATCTTTCTCGTAATTGCTTTCTCTTTCTCCTTCCCAAAGAGTTCTGTCCTGTA